TGTATTCTCTCTCCATCACCATTGTGTCCCTCAGAGCATCAGCTCCCCAAGGGCAGGGATTTTGGTTTGGTTGTTTCTTGCTATACTGGCACATAGTAGGAGCATGATATTTGTTGAATGTACCTGGAAACCAGAATTGAATGAATTTCATGGTGCAGACATTTGTTGAGAAGGGGGGCAGAGGACAGTCCTAGGACTCACCTTTGGGGGCTCACAGCCCACTTGGGGGTGCAGGGACCCTGAAGCAAGGGCATCTTCCTTATAGGGAGGGCTGGGATGTGCCCCTGTTGATGTGAAGAGTAATCACAATACTAAGATAATACTAGGCAGTGGGGTTGGCTCTCTGGGTTGGCTTCCCCAGTTGTAAGATGTGGCTGAGTAGGGTCTCCTCCCCAGGTGTGGTTAGTGAGGTCCCAGACAGCTACCTGTAGGATGCCCGCTCTGACTCTCACTGCCTGCCTGGGTACCAGGTGGCCCTGACAGGAGTGGGCACTGTGGTTCTTTTTGTAATGGGAGACCTCCTTTGGGTAAACCTGAACCTGCCCTGAACCCATGGGGCTGTAGACAAGAGGCCAGTAGAGCTATCCAGGGCCCTGGTGACACCCCCACGACCAGACGAAGGGGGAGGCTTCTACCCCCTGACACATTTTACCAGTGATATGTCTTTCAGGGCTGTTGGACTGGCAGGCGAGCCAAGCAGGCAGGAACAATCCCAGCTGGGATGACACCCGCCTGCCGAGTGATACGCCCTGGCACGACCAGGCCAACCCCAGAGGAAGCCCCCGTGGCAGACTGGGGACACAGCCCTATCTGTCCCAGTCATGGGGCCTCTGTCTTCTGTGCTCATAGACAGGGTCCTTCTAGAGGGTCACAGCCTCCTGGGAGAGGCCTCCCAGCTGGCCCTGAAGCCAGGAAATGCTGGCTGTGAGGACAGTGGCTTTGGAAGTTGTTCTTTTCTAGCTTGTAGGGCAATGGAGTGCCATAAATCAAGATTGGGGGGCCATGACTGGAAGCCGCAAGCCACCCGCTCAGCTTGAGGGAGTCTTCCTGTGGTTTGGGTTGGTACTTCTTGTCCTGCAACACCAAGTTCCCCATTGTCTGGGCAGAAGCCAGTCAGACGGAAGTCCGGCTTTTGCAGTGTCTGCCCCGGTGGCTTTGCCTGGTGGCTTTGCCTGGCACAGGCTGCTGGGAAGCTGAGGGCAGGATGCCTTCTGAGGTGGGGAGGCCCCACCTGGAATACGCTCCCAGCATCGGGTGAAAAATGGTGCACGAGCTTGAATTTTAAATTTAAACTCTTTCCAAATTAAAGGAGTTATTCAACTACTCATTGTAAAAAAAAAAAAAAAAAATCACTCTGTACAGAGTGCACAGAGCAAGATACAAAACAAACAAACAAATAAGCAAAATTGCACAGACAGAAATTCCTGTTGCCCTTTGCATGGGACCCCCTCTATCAGTGTGTGTCCCTTACATGATCCTTTTCTGTATCTGTATATGTGGGTGGCCCCTACCCACCCACCTGCCTACCCACCCAATGCCACTGTAAGGTCGGCAGCAACTGCTCTCAGCTGGAAAGTCCAAAGTCTCCTAGAACGTGACTGCCTCTCACCAAGTCCCCGTGATTCCATGCCTCCAGGGTGCTGCTATTTAGTGCCTTTTGGTTTTTTTTTTT